ATCATCATCATCTGACTACAAACAATTCTGTGGCCCAGATGATTCACTGGAACTTATGTCACAAGTACCACCTGCCAGCAGGAAAGAATTAGTGGGATCATAAATCTGCAAAGGTCATGGAAAATGAACACGCAAAATACTGTGGGACTTTTGAATCCACACGGACAAAGTTTTGGAACACAATATACCAGACATCACTATTGTGGAAAAGAAAAAAAGTTTGGATTATTGATGCCGCCATACCTGGTGACAGTCGAATTGACAAAAAATAACAGGAAAAACTCAGCCGCTATCAAGACCTCAAAATTGAACTGCAACGGCTCTGGCATAAACTGGTACAGGTGGTCCCAGTGGTCATTGGTGCACTGGGTGCTGTGCCAAAAGACCTCAGCCAGCATTTGGAAACAATAAACATTGACAAAATCACGATCTGTCAACTGCAAAAGGCCACCTTACTTGGATCTGCATGCATCATTCGAAAATACATCACACAGTCCTAGATGCTTGGGAAGTGTTCAACTTGTGATTTTTTGATACGAAATCCAGCATATAGATCTCATTTGCTGTGACATACTGTGCTTTTATGTCAGTAAAATAATAATATAAAAAACTTTATTTGTATTCTGCCCTATCTCCCCGAGGGGTCACATGCTGATAAGCTCAATGCTGGACTGCTGTAGTGCACTGTACATTGGGCTACTATCTGTGTACCAAGTTTAGAAATGTCAGTAGGTCCAGCCAAATTGGTATTGGAGACATCTAGGAGTGACCATATTATATCAACAACAACAACAGCTACAAACACTCTTCCTATTACATCAGTTAATGCAATCAAGAACCCATTTGCAAAGGGGCAACTCTTTAGTGTTGGTGAACTCTGGTGTTGTTAAATTACAACTGGAAGTAGAAGTGGACCAAGACTAGAGTGCTCATTTCTCACCAAAGACCTAGAAATGCTTTTTTTGACATTTTAAAATGCACTTTCCCTTTACCTTAGACCTTAACTATTGAAGATAGCTATGTCCGATGCATTCAGTTTTCTGGTTTTCAGCCAAAAGCTTTAGAAAAGCACTATAGACTATACTTGAGAAATTCCATGGGGTTAACTTGATTTTGGAGTTATTCTTCACCGAAAGTACTGTCTGATATATTTAGCTAAGTTGTCTAAATCCGACTGTAGTATTGATTTCTAGCTTTAAGAACTCTCCCCCATTTGGTAAGCTCCAAGGAGCCCTTGTCCTGGCTCAGTTCATGCCAAGACACAGCTGAAATATGTTATTCCTGACAATAATCCTACAGCTAGAAACTGATCGTTACAAAAGTTTAATAACATTATGCAAATAGAAATGCCGCATTAAAAAATCTTAACAATAGTTGCTCTAATTCCTCAGTAATAAGACACAGATTTCCCTCCTCTTTTTTTGCAGTGTCTTTGAAAATGGCTGGTTTTTCATTTACTGAGCACTTAACAGCAGCTACAGTGAATTTATTAAAAGGGAGAGTAGAGCAATCATAATCCCAAGCCTGCAGAACCATTAAAAGTAATGAAAAGACACAAGCAGATATGTGAAAAGTAAATTAACCATTCAGTCAGTATGGTCCAGAGGTTCCAAGCTTAAATTGTCCTGGGAATCTGCCAAAGAGGTTCTACATATGAATGTTCAGATGTCAAACACAAGACAGCCAAGTGTTCCTTCCTATTCTGTTTTATAGATTTTTTTAAAAAAATGCTATAAAAATAGCTGGTGACATTTTAAACAGAAAGTAGAAATTCCACGTCTGAACGCACTAATATTCATATACACAAAGTTATTTGTATGCACCGGTCTTTGCTATATTGAAGCTAAACCTGAGCATGGCCTTTTCATTTTGGTGTCCAGCACTTTTATGTATGAAAAATCTCTTCATTGTCTCCTTGCCGATTCAAAACAAGACAATCAGAGAATTGTCCGGTTGAAGAAACACACTTCTTATTATGGTGCAGTATCACTGCTTCTTAGGCTAGCTTAGTCACTTATTTCCTCTATTATAATGCCAAATGTTATTTAGATTTCAGTCATTTAGTAATGGTACACTGAACACATCAAGGCTTCTGAAAAATCCCATACCTACTAGCCTTTTCATTCTCATAATAATATGTTGATATCCTTTCCTTCCCCCATCAAATTAGACACACAATTGTTCCCCTCCCCCCTCCAAATTTCATCTCTTAACAGAAGTAAAGAGATAATAACAAAATGAACAGCAATCTTCAAAAGCATATTTTTGTCCTATTAACATGCAAAGAAATTAGTTAAAACTCCAAGCTTTTAGGAAATATAAAAAGCTTTGTGATGCAAAGGCTGACACCTACTTTCTAGCAATCTTCCTCAGAACTTTAATCTGTCTTAATAAAAGTGTTTAGTTAAAGGTAGCACTTCATTCTGCTTTATTTCAGGCTCCTATCCAGTATTAATGCTCAGGTTGGCATCAGTTAGGAGAGCTGTTATCAAGGATTTAC